TTTTGCGTATAATTTTTAGTACGCAGATGTGATTTATCGATTAGAAAATAATTTCGATTGCACTCTAATCTGTAAAGAGAAAAATCGTTTCGACTTAAAATTGTTTCCATGCGAAAAAGAGATAAGGTGTTTTTGAGTGAACTGGATTGTTCAACTCGCACTCTGCATTTGTTGACATAACACATCGATAACCCAAGATATATCAGCTCGTTTTGGTGATTTTTGTGAAACCCCCCCAAAAATGTCTTTATGTATAAAAGAACCGCCGTTTTAAGATTTACCAAATTAACTCGTTAAAGTTTTCAAAGAAATCTTATTGAAAAGAAAACTTTTTTTATTAAAAACTTTTTACAAATTCACTTTTTTTTTGTTTTTCTTAGTTTAAATTTCGTTTAAACTTAATCAAAAGTGGCTCAAAATGGTGCGAAAACTTTTTGAATCAACACCGATAAGAAGTTTAATAAGATATTGGAATTTAATAACGAAAATTGAGAAAAACTCGGTTTTCTAACATTGGATTAAGGACGATTTCGTCCATAGATTATCAAGAACAAATTTTCCGTCCTTATTATTAAGATATTAAAAAAAAATGGAATCAAAGAAGTTAAATTATGGAACGATGCAAATTGGAAATCAACAAACAAAGAAGAAAAAAGCAGTTTTTATCGACAACAATAACGTTTATATTCGTGTTGATGCGAAAGGTTTGATCGTTCAAGAAAAACCGATCGGTTTCGATCAAAGAAAATCGGGTTTTTTCGGTGTGCACGTTTTATTTGCGTTGTTTGTGGTGTTTTATGTACTCTACTTAACTTCCGGTAGCATGGTGTTTAGTTTTTTGGAAAGCCCAGCTGAAGCTGCTGTTAAAATCGACGTTTTAAAAGCAAAAAGGAACTTTTACAATCGATATCCTAACGTTTTAGGTAGGTTATTAAAATTTTTATTGATAAATAGATTAATTAAACCTTAAATCTAATTAAAATCAATCTCGGGTAATTCACTAATCACTAATATTTTATCGCTGTTTAATTAACGATAGTGTCGCGGCACGCGTGTTTAAAATTAAATCTAAAATCGATTAATTTCAAATTAAAAATGTACAAATAATAATTTTTTTAAATAAAAATTAATAATTGATTTTATTTTCTTTTTAGATGAGGATTTAGAAAATTTAATCGTAGAAATTGTACGTGCTAGTAACAAAGGAGTTTTGCCGACGAGAAATTGTACAAATCAACCAAACTGGAGTTTCGCTCAATCGTTATTTTTCTCAACAACGGTCGTTACTACAATTGGTAATTAATTTACCAAAAAATATATCGAAAACAAATCGTATTATTTTTTATAATAGGATATGGACATGTAACTCCGTTAAGTAGAAGTGGAAAAATTTTCTGCATAGCTTACGCAACGTGTGGTATTCCTCTAACGTTGGTTTTGATGTCAGCTTTAGTTGAAAGACTTCTAAAACCATCATTATGGCTTCTACAACTTTTAAATTCCAAGTTATCACATCGATATCAACCGTTTAATATTCGAGTTTTACATTTATTTTTTATTGGTAAGTATAAAATAATGTTTATTATAAATTGTTCATTGATTTTCAACATCATTAATCCTTCTTGATCTCAAAGACTGTATACTTTTTGTAATATTCAACAAACATGCATTAAAATTATTACAAACAAACCATATTTAACTAAAGAAATGTTTAATGGGCGACTTCCGGTAATAAATGTTAACTTTAATTTTGTTATATTCTTAATCTTTACGAAAAATCCTTTAACATGAGTCCAAACTCGACTATTTTATCTCAAAAAATAACAAAGATACAACAAAAAGTTTATAAAATTAAAGTTAACAAGGTGAAGTTGGCTACAAACCATTAAAAATGCTAATATCTCAGTTATTTTTTGAGATAACCTCATCGTGTTTGAACTCATTTTAAAGGATTTTTCATAAAAATTATGATTATCATATTTAAACATATTTAAAAAAACCATATTTAACTAAAAAAATTCTTAATGGGCGACCTCCGGTAATAAATGTCAACTTTAATTTTGCTATATTCTTAATCTTTACGAAAAACCCTTTAAAATGAGTCCAAACTGGACGATTTTATCTCAAAAAATAACAAAGATACAACAAAAAGTTGATAAAATTAAAGTTAATAAAGTGAAGTTGGCTACAAACCATTAAAAAGGTTAAAATCTCGGTTATTTTTTGAGGCAAGCCCATCGTATTTGAACTCATTTTAAAAGATTTTTCATAAAGATTATGAATATCACAAAATTAAGGTTGGGTTGGGAACCGGAAGTATCCCGTATCTCGTTTATTTTTAAAGTTAAATGTATACTTTTTGTAATATTCAACAAACATTCATTAAAATGATTACGAACAAACCATATTTAACTAAAAAAATGTTTAATGGGCGTCTTCCGGTAATAAATGTCAACTTTAATTTTGTTATTTTCTTAATCTTTACGAAAAATCCGTTAACATGAGTACAAACTCGACTATTTTATCTCAAAAAATAACAAAGATACAACAAAAAGTTGATAAAATTAAAGTTAACAATGTGAAGTTGGCTACAAACCATTAAAAATGTTAATATCGCGGTTATTTTTTCAGATAAACCCATCGTGTTTGAACTCATTTTAAATTATTTTTCATAAAGATTATGAATATCACAAAATTAAGGTTGACATTCAAAACCGGAAGTATCCCGAATTTCGATTATTTTTAAAGTTTTAAATACTTTTTGTAATATTCAACAAACATTCATTAAAATAATTACAAACAAACCATATTTAATCCAACAAACGTTTAAGGGGTGACTTCCGGTAATAAATGTCAACTTTAATTTTGTTATATTCTTAATCTTTACAAAAAATCCTTTAAAATGAGGCTAAACTTCACTACTTTATCTCAAGAAATAACAAAGATACAACAAAAAGTTGATAAAATTAAAGTTAACAAAGTGAAGTTGGCTACAAACCATTAAAAGCGTTAATATCTCGGTTATTTTTTGAGATTACCCCATCGTGTTTGAACTAATTTTAAAGGATTTTTCATAAAGATTTTGAATATCACAAAATTAAGGTTGACATTTAAAACCGGAAGTACCCCGTATTTCGATTATTTTAAAAGTTAAATGTATACTTTTTGTAATACTCAACAAACATTCATTATAATGATTGTAAACAAACCATATTTAACTAAAAAATATGTTTAATGGGCGTATTCCGGTAATAAATGTCAACTTTAATTTTGTTATATTCTTAATCCTTACGAAAAATCCTTTAAAATGAGTCCAAACTCGACTATTTTATCTCAAG